CTTCTCCCCACCAAAAAAAAAAAAAAAAAAACAACGGGAAAAGAAAAAACTGGCGATTTGATCATTATTGCCCTGTTAAAATCCAGCATTTGTGTTTATTAAAACTTTTAAAGATTGAAGGGAGTCAAATTCAGTTAATGTTTATTCAGAAGCAATTATATATATGTCAGATACTCTACATGTTATCTTATCTGTCTAGGCTATGACAGAGTCTGTCTTTTCTGCAAATACTATACTGTAAATAATTTATATGTGAAAATATAGGTAAATTATAGCCTATATTTAAAATTATAAACTGAATATTATTTTTATTTTAGTATCCTTCATTATATTAACTGTAGAAATTTATTTTATGACCACATTATGAAGTCTTCCTTCCCCGTCCTTAATTGTAGGGCAAAAAAGTGTATCTTCTGGTTGCTAATGTGAATTGTGGACTAAAGATATATCATGGAGAAAATAAATTCCATGGAAATGAATATTATCACCAGGATCTGAAGACTATGAAAATACTCTTTGGTGTTGTCATGAACTCTTCTGGAGAAAAGAATCTGTGAAATTATGTGAATAGAGACCATTTTTTAAAACAATGGGGGAAAGAGCAGGAAGTCCAGGTACTGATCAAGGAAGAAAGGCAGACAAACACCAATACTTTTATTATTCATCTGATTTTGGAACTTCACCACAGTCTTCTGGCAAGTCAACACCAGTCCGTCTTTCTTCACCTGCAAGTATTAAGGGAAAAGATCCTAAAAGACAAATTTCAGATAGCCAAGTGCATCACCAAGGTAAGTATTCTTTAAAGGAGTCCAGTGGACCTAGAAGACTCCTTTTGAGGGCTTAAGGAAAACCTCTTCGGTTAGTATGTGTATTGTCACATACATACAAGTAGTAGTAGGCTGATTTACATTTGAATAGAATATATGTTTATAAATTTACATGAGTATAAATATTGCTTATGGTACTATGTAATACCTTTTGTTATATTTAAAGTCATACAATATACAAAAGAAAGTAACATAGTTAAGCCTTCTCATTTTTGTTTTTTCTTCCTAAATTAATGCTTGCCTTGGAGTTTCTGAGCTAATATAAAGGCAAAAAAAAAAAAATCACAAAATATTTGTACTTTCTGTATCTTCATTTCTAAAAAGTAGGAAAAGTCATTGATATAAAGGGATTAAGGGGCA